ATGGGGTCACAAAGCGCTGTACTGGGTGGTGGATGACACACGCGGGCGGTCCCACTGGGGCCTGCGGTGGGGCCCCCTTTATGGGGCCACGACGCGCTTTACTGGGTGGTGGATGACGCATGCGGGCGGTCCCACTGGAGCCTGCGGTGGAGCTCCCTATGTGGCAACGATATGCTGCGCTGGGTGGTGGATGACGCATGAGGGCGGTCGCACTGGGGGCTTCGGTGGAGCTCCCTATGGGGCCACGAAGCGCTGTGCTGGATGGTGGATGACGCACGCGGGCGGTCCCACCGGGGCCTTCGGTGGGGCCCCCTATGGATGGTGGATGACGCATGCGGGCGGTCCCACTAGAGCCTGCGGTGGAGTTCCCTATGCGGCCGCGGGGCGCTGTGCTGGGTGGTGGATGACGCATGCGGGCGGTCCCACTGGAGCCTTCGGTAGAGCTCCCTGCGGGGCCGCGGAATTTTGTGCTGGGTGGTGGCTGACGCATGCGGGCGGTCCCACTGGAGCCTTCGGTGGAGCCCCTATGGGGCCACGAAATGAAGAGGGAGCGGGAGGGGGGAAGGAAGGAAGGAGGAGAAAGCGGGGCGCTGTCTCTTCAAAACGAGGACCCAAGACCACAATATGGTTGGGAACGAATTATCATGGCGAAGGACCCAACCAGATGAAGTTGTGGGTGCCGCAAGTGTGAATATCTTCTTCGGTGAAGCTCCCTGACGGGGCCACGAAGCGCTGTGCTGGGCGGGGGGGAACGCACGCGGTCGGTAGCACTGGGGTCGTCGGTGAAGCTCCCTGTGAGGCCACGAAGCGCTGCGCTGGGTGAGTGAAAATACAAAAATTAGGCGTGTGGGATGCATGCGGGCGGTCCCGTTGGGGGCTTCGGTGGCCCCATTGGGCCGCGAAGCGTTGAAAAGGGTGGGTGGGAATGCCAAATTGAGTGTTGGGGGCGCATGCGGGCGGCCCCGCTGGGGGTTCGGTGGGGCTTCCCATGGGGCCACGAAGCGCTGTGCTGGGTGGGTGAAAATGCCAAATTGGGCGTGGGGGACGCGTGCGGGCGGTCTCACTGGAGCGTGCGGTGGAGCTCCCTATGGGGCCCGCATGCGGGCGGTCCCACTGGGGGCTTCGGTGAAGCTCCCTATGGGGCCACGAAACGCTGTAATGGGCGGGTGAAAATGCCAAGTTGGACATGGTGGACGCACGCGGCCAGTCCCATTGGGGGCTTCGGTGGGGTTCCCCAGGGAGCCGTGGAGCGTTGTACTTGGTGGGTGACAATGCCAAATCGGGTGTGGGGGACGCACGCGGGCGGTCCCACTGGGGGCTTCGGTGGGGCTCCCTATGGGGCCACGAAGCGCTGTGCTGGGTGACAGTGCCAAGTTGGGTGTGGGGGACGCGTGCGGGCGGTACCACTGGGCGCTTCGGTGGGGCTGCCTATTGGGCCACGCAGCGCTGTACTGGGTGGGTGAAAAAACCAAATTGGGTGTGGGGGACGCATGTGGGCGGTACCACTGGGGGCTTCGATGGAGCTCCCTACGGGGTCACGAAGCGCTGTACTGGGTGGGTGAAAATGCCGAGTTGGGCGTGGGGGACGCATGCGGGCGGTGCCACTGGGGGCTTCGGTGGAGCTCCCTATGAGGTTGCGCAGCGCTGTACTGGGTGGGTGAAAACGCCAAATTGGGTGTGGGGGACGCATGCGGGCGGTCCCACTGGGGGCTTCGGTGGGGCTCCCTATGAAGCCACGAAGCGCTGTGCTGGGTGGGTGAATGTGCCAACTTGGGTGTGGGGGGCGCACGCGGGCGGTCCCACTGGGGGCTTCGGTGGGGCTCCCTATTGGGCCACGCAGCGGTGTACTTGGCGGGTGAATATGCCAAATTTGATGTGGGGGGTGCTTGTAAGCGGTACCACTAGGGGCTCCGGTGGAGCTACCTCTGGGGTCACGAAGCGCTGTACTGTGTGGGTGAAGATGCCAAATTGGGCGTGGGGGGCGCGTGCAGGCGGTACCACTGGGCGCTTCGATGGAGCTCCCTATGGGGTCACGCAGCACTCGCTGTGCTGGGTGGGTGACAATGCCAAACTGGGTGTGGGGGGCGCATGCGGGCGGACCCACTGGGGGCTTCGGTGGGGCTCCTTATTGGGCCACGAAGCGCTGCACTGGGCGGGTGAAAATGCCAAATTGGGCGTGGGGGGCGCATGCGGGCGGTACCACTGGGGGCTTCGGTGGAGCTCCCTATGAGGCCACGAAGCGCTGTACTGGGTGGGTGACAATGCCAAATTGGGCACGGGGGACGCATGCGGGCGGCCCCACTGGGGCCTTCTGTGGAGCTCCCTATGGGGCCACGAAGCGTGTGAGGGATGTGCCGAAATTAGCGTGGGGGACGCATGCGGGCGGCGGAGGGGAGGAGGGGGGGGAGGAAGAGACAAGCTAGGTGCGCTCGCGTCATATCTGACGTCCTACCCCCCCCTCCCATCCCATACCATGGCGCTGATGTTCTCTCTCCGCGGACGCGTGTCGTAGCGGACCTGTGGCTCCGCGCGCGCGTGCGTAGTTGGTGGTGGTGCGCGTGCGTGCGTGCGTGCGTGTGTGCGTGGTTGTGGTGGTGGTGGTGGTGGTGGTGGTGGTGGTGGTGGTGGTGCGGCGCGGTGGTGGCGGGCGGATGGGCGCGCGAGAAAGAGGCCCGCGCTGGGGCGAGAACGCCATCCTGAACGACGGAGGCCAAACACCGATCCGAAAATGAGGCCCGCGCTGCAGCGGGAGCACGATTCGGAACGATTCGGGAGCAGAAATGAAGCTGGCGCCTCAGCGAGAGCAGTATTTTGAATAAAAAACGCAAGCGAAAACCCAACTCCCGGGAATCCTGTGTAAAAGCAGTACGCGGGGGGGGGGTCTAATACTTTCAGGCCGCCATCGGGGGAAGAGGGAGAGTAGTATTCATATTGAGTAATTGCAAAGGAAAGGGACGCGGGGACCGTCTCTTCAAAACGAGGACCCATCACCACAGGATGGTGGGGAAGAACTTACTACAAGGCCACCAGAGCCTGCGGGAACACGGCGACGGGGGCGAGAGGCGGAAGGCCACCGCCTCGGGGGAACCGCCAACGGTTGGCGGCCACCCTGGGGTGAGAGGCAGGCAGCCCATCGCCCCCACAGATAAAAGTTCAAAGCGCTAACGCTTAGCAGCCATCAGCCACCTAACTAGATGACGGGAAGCGCGCTAAGATTCGAAGAGTCGCGCGATGGACGTCTGTGTGCCCAGAGGGATTTTTGTATCAACTGGGGGGGTCTTGGGGAACGCGCGGTGCCGCCTCGGGGCGAAGGACCTGGCGGATGACGGGAAGCGCGCTAAGACTCGAAGAGTCGCGCGATGGACGTTCTCTCGGCCAGAAGCAGTATCACTGGGGGGGGGCGGATGGGGGGTGGTGCGACCCGGAGGGGAATATTTGTCAACTGGGGGGAGTGCAGAGGGGGGAAGGGCTCGGGGTTGCTCCTCCGTCAGCCCCAGGCGGATGACGGGAAGCGCGCTTAGACTCGAAGAGTCGCGCGATGGGCGTTGCTGTAGACCCGGAAGGAAATATTATCAACTGGGGGAAGTGCAGAGGGGCGAATGGCTCGAGATTGCTCCGTGGTCAGACCCAGGCGGATGACGGGAAGCGCGCTTGGACTGGAAGAGTCGCGCGATGGACGTTGCTGTAGACCCGGAGGAAATATTTATCAACTGGGGGGAGTGCAGACTGGGGTTGTTGTAGAGACTTCGAATGGCGCCGAATGGCTCGAGATTGCTCCGTGGTCAGACCCAGGCGGATGACGGGAAGCGCGCTTGGACTGGAAGAGTCGCGCGATGGACGTTGCTGTAGACCCGGAAGGAAATATTTATCAACTGGGGGGAGTGCAGAGGAAGGAAGGGCTCGGGGTTGTTCCGTGATCAGACCCAGGCGGGTTCCCCAGAATGGCCATTTCGCCTGCGACATCCTCACAAAATGGAGACGTCGGAGGCTATCGTTTAAGACGTCTTATGTTAAAGATGACGATTTCGCCTGAGACATCCTCACAAAATGCGGATGTTGAAATAGGACGCGGAATCTTCGGATCTTCGAAAATGGGGCTCTCGCCTGGGACATCCCCCCAAACATAAAATGGCGAAGTAGCTGTTGTACGGCATCTTTGGGGGATGCTCTTGGAGGACCTCCAAGATGGCCCCAAAGGCAAGATCATGGAAAAACCATTGGCTTTTGCTCAACAGTAAGCGTTTCGCTCGAGACATCCTAAAAAAATACTCGCCCACAGCAGGTGGAGTTCACTCTCTGCGCGAGTTCAGCCCTCCCTGATGATAGCGATGAGGTTGATGACGGAAATAATGATGATTTTTTTCATTCTGCGCCCTGGGCTCCTATGTGCGTCTTATCTTTGCGAGGCTGCTCCTGCGAAACTTCTGCGAGGAATCCAGATTCATCACTCTGAAATACAATGGCATCAATGAGAGGCGGCGCGCGGTGCTTTAGACCGAGACGACCAGCGAAGAACGCAGGGCGAGGGGGCCGCGCCAAATGCCGAGAGTGGCCCACGGTTGGCCCCGCCGACCGACTCGAGAGGTACGGCCGGCTGGAGGAAACGAACTTAGTGCCTCGTGCGTTTCAACATCGAGCGCAACCTATCACTACCCATTAAAGTGTTCCAGCGAGGGCTGCCCCGCTTGATCCCAAGAGAAATCAAAAGAGCCTCGGGAGTCGCTGGTTCCCTGGGGGCCTCCGCAACTGTCGCGGTGAGCACTGAACTCCCATGGGGTCCCAACGCATTCGAGGAAGAGGAGGACGAGGCGAGAATCGAGGACGAGGTCGGGGGAGGAGAGGGGAAAGAGCAAATTTCAGACGAAACACTCAGTTCAACGGCGGGGCTGCCGACAGGCAAAGCAGCAAAATCGCCTGCAGCGGCCGCAGGCTCACGTTCACCATCAGGCCCACGCGCAGGCCCTTCAGCGTCTGGTGCTCTAGCTTGTCGGGCACTCAACCGACCAGCTGCACGACATACTCCTGGAGCTCCCTCTCCATGAACGACGCTGGGGCCTTCCCCTGCTTGCGCTCCATCCCCGCCTGAACGCAGCACGCAATCACCGTCTGGCGCCAGCGCTCGTCTCGCAGCACAAAGGTGATCCGCTTCTTGTCCTTGTCGTACGTCTTGTCCAGACGGCACATCCGTATCATCTCCATCTTGTCCTCTACGCCGTGCGCGCCGAGCCACTCCATCATGTCCACGATCCCCTTCGCGTTCTGGGCGCCCACTGCGTCTCCGCGTTCTCGAAGTCCCGCCAGCAAGCCCGCGAACGCCCAGATGTAGGGGGCTCCGTGCAGGTGGCCCTTCCCGTCGCGCTTCACCGCCTCCGCGTAGTTGTGGGTCTGCTCCGCCATCTTCAGCGCCTCCTCCCCATCCACAGGGCAGAGAAAAGTGCCGAATAGGCATCCTCCGAGTTCTCGCATCCCCTGCGCCACCTTCAGGAGCTGCTTGACCATCGCGAGCAGGAGCCGACGTAGCCCTTGATCGCTGACACCTTTGAGCTTCTTGTCCGTGCTGCCTCCTTCCGTGCGTGACTTGACGCGGCGTGGCTCTTGGCCTCCATCCTTCTCGCCGTCCGCGGCCGCCAGCAGCGCGGGCGCGGCGAAGGCGATGGCGCTCCAGAAGGCGCGGAGCGGGGCGAGGCAAGTGTTCTTCTCGAGCGCGTGTGTAATACTCAGGTAAACTGTCAAACTCGAGCCCACACATTTTACAGATAATCTCAGAGGGGACCTGCAACTCCCATGCTTGGTGGCCCCCTCGAGGCCGACATCTCCCAAGACCCCAAGACGCTTGAACGTGCTGTTTTGCGCTATCTTTTGAAGCAAGCAGACTGCCACAATTCAGGCACTGGTTCGCAATCACGCAGCATCTAAGCGGGCGCATGACGCCGTGAGACCCGCCTCGGGCTTTCGTCGTATGCGCGGCCAGCTTCTCCAAGGAATCAAAACACAGGCCGCAAATGGCGCCCTGCGAGTCGGTCAGGTCGCACGCGAACTCCCCCTCAGGCCCCTCCGTCCCCTTGGCTCTGGGTGCAAGCTTTTCCCATATCTGATCTTCCCTCATGAGTGACACCTCCAGCAGCTTCGCATCAGCTTTCAAAAAAGCTTTGTTCACCTCCTCGCAGCTCCATAACTCTTGCCAAGCCCTGCCGACCAGCGCCCATTCTTCGAAGAAATCCTCCGTGCCGCTGATGCCCTCCAACAGCATGAGGTCGCGGGTGAACTGCCTGGCGAACGGGCTGGTGCTCACCGTCAGCTTCCCTTCGATGTCGATCGGCGAGGGCTCGTCCTCCAGGTGTCCCCAGAGAACTGGATAACCTGTTGATGAGCCAGAGGATGCCGCACCATATCCTGTAGCCAGCGTATCCTTTGCATTGCCAGAGCCGCCTTTGAGGGCACAACTCCCCAACGCTTCATGAGTTGCTTGTTCGTGAGAACTTTGACGTGTGTGTCGTGTGCCACCTGCGACCCCCCTTCCATCGCTCTCAACTTCTTGCAAATCTGAACATCCAGACGATGAAGTTCCGACTCGCTGAGTACGTAGCTGCACATGCCAGGGAGAGCAGCCCCCACTACCTTGCCCAGAAAGAGCTGTCGTCGTAATGTGTGAGGACTCTTGGCGAACCAAAATCTGCCCATGTCAGCCCATCCTTTTTTTTTAAGCGTCAATGCGGTAGCCGACCTCGACACTGGCGTTGTCGTTCCATACGTATCTTCCACCAAGATGCCGTGCGTGTGGTACTATCTTTCCAGACCCAGGCTTGGGTAGTGCTTTGAACTTCAATTTTCCAGAAGGTTTGAGCTCAGAGACCATCTCGCGCTTCTTCATGTTCTGTTTGAAGCCCCCCTTCTCGAGCTCCGTGATTAGCAACGTCTGGCTTTCCTCGATGATTGTGTGTGCGTCGGTAGCCAAACCAGACAAGATGACGTGGCGTTTCTTCAAATCATCAGCGAACTGCACCACGGCACATGAAACAGGTAGCTCCAGTATGGGTGTCTTGAATGAAAGGAGGTCGTCCTGAGCAGCACACTCAGCACGCCATTGTTGTGCGGGTCTTCGAAATGCCACGGCGAACTCCTTGGGCGCCTCACAGGTCCCCATGAGACCTCCGCGTCCGAGGGCGAAGTGTAACGCCTCACCACGCGCCTCAACCTCCACGATGTGATGATGAATCCTGTCGTGCAGCAGGGCCCAGTCCACCGGCTCCGCCAGCTCCTCAACTGCCTCATCCAGCCACTCGAGTGGCGTGCAAGCGAAAGCGTTCGACATATCCAGCAATTCCGAGACGCTGCGAAGGCCTTTCTGTCTGAGAGCATACCCCGCACAACGAGTGACCATCATCGCGTCCTCTCGCCTGCGGTGCGCCAAGTAGCCGTGACAAGTCGGATCGAAGTTCAACTCGCACTCGCGGCTGCTCGGCTTCCGAAGGAGACCGCCGAAGAAAAACTTCCAGAAGGTGCAGACCAGGTGAATGAGCCTCCTGCCGTCCAGACCTCTGAGTCCGTTATGCTTGTCCAGGGCGAAGCCAAACGACCAGTGCGCAGCTGCAGGTGCGCGTTCAGCTCGACGTACATGAAGTAAGGCCTCCTGCACCTCCGAGCGGCAGCTGCGACAAGACTGCGCTACCTCCTCGATCGGTGGTTGTCCCAGACCACGTGGTGGTCTCCTCGCTGTAGTGCAATGTCCAGGTTAAATACAGCAAAGTAAGAGCTCGACGGGAATACTCCACTGCACCGATCCTCTGCGCTTCCCACTTTTTCGCATAGCCCAGATCGTGCGACGAAGATCGCGTTCAGCTAGATCTTCAAGGTAAGCACTCCTTTCCTTGAGACAAGTGTCTGTGGTGCCACGACGGGCGAGAAGCTCAGCTCGATCAACGCGTACTGCTGACATGCCTCCCTCCGCGCTCGGCTTCGCCATGTGTGCCTCGACCGCCTTAGCCGACGGTCGTGACTCGGGCGTCGTAAGATGCTGCCGTCGCTTGGTACCCTGAGCTCGCTCTGCCAACAAATGTGCTATCCGATGCATCTCATACGTGTGCCCCAACTTCTCAGCCTCCGCCAGGTCCGTCTCAAGTGACATGCGTCGTTCAGCCCGTCGCCTGCGCGCCCATTGTCTGAGCTGCTTGGTGAGCCTCTTGATGGGTCCCACCTGCTCGTCGTCACCAGTCGAGTCGGACCCGCGAGAGCCCATTCCAGCCACTCGTGCTCGTTCCTCCGCACGAAGCGCCACTAGCCGTCGCCTCTCAACTTGCAAACGTGCCTCTGCGGTATTGTGTCGTTCAGGCGGGTGCTTTCGGAAATGTGCCTGACCAGCTTCCTGCGTCAGTTGCATCACCAGACTCCAATGTTCATCAACTCGCCGATCTTCTCTGAGAGATATGAACTCGTTCTCATGCTGGGTGAATAATTCCTCCAACTGCAGGAAGAATAGATCTCGGCCCTTTCCCGTTTGAAGTGCTTCCGATAGCTTCTGAAGGTCCCAGGTCATGAGCTTTGTTTTTGAATCAGTGACTCCGTCTTGCATTTCCAAACTGTAACCGATCACAAGCAGAAGCGGTAGACGATCACGTGGGCGTCGATCAGGGATGAGTTGAAGCCGCCCCCCATGAAAGTAGCTCACCTTGCAATCAAGGACGTTCCCCATAGCAGCCACTGGGATGAACCAGTGGTCAATCGTAGAGCTCGCCCCCTTGGAACCGAAGAACGTGGGCCCGCCCTCGGAATGCCAAGTACTAGGTGAGCACAAGTTGCGAGTGAGGCACAGCTGCTCCGCGAGGTCGCCCGACATGTTCTGCTTGGCCCTGTTGTATTATCCAGCATGTTCCTCTGCCACAGGAACCCCATCACTCCGTTCACCAAAGCCGCTGTTCACATCCATGCCCACCACTAAGAGAGAGCGGGCCCGCGTACCCTCCACTATGTTGCCTACCCACTGGTGCGTCGCCTTCACCGCCCCCTCGCACGCCGAAATCTTCTTGCCCGTGGCGCCAGTGGGTGGTGGATATCCAACGGCCAGGGTCACGTCGAACTTGCCGCCCTTCATTCGCACCGCTCCCGCTCTGCCTTGAATAGACTTGGGCGGGGTGAAGATATCCACCGCATCTTTGAGTCTAAACTGTCTGCCCAATATGATCGTGCAACCTGCAGGCCGATTCGTCCACGCTGAAGCCGCCCAGCCAAAATGAATCGCAGAGTACCCGTCGCCCAGCTTCTCAACCTGATACTGTCGGCCTGACCAGCTTCGAATACGAGTGCCAGGAAGTAAGACGGCATCGGCTCCGAGCTCGCGTGCCACCTCGCGGCACCTGCCCACGGCAATCAGCGACAGCGGGTTGTAGAGAAATAGTCGAAGAGGTCCCAGCACGCGCATTCTCCAGCCATGCGCCGCGAGCCCTCGAGACGGCTGCGCTCAACAGCTGGGCGCCTCGAGGGAGAGGGTTGCGTCCGAAAAAGGAATGTCGGACGAGCGCTGCCCTGTCGCGCTGCTGGGTTGCGGTCTGAGCCCCAGTTGCGCTTAATAATGGTGATGATGATGATGACGACGGCGATGCTGATCATGATCTCGCTGTGGGTGCCAGCGCCAATTCTGAACTCGCGCGGGTCGTGAACTCCACCTGGTGCCTTGGGTGGGCGTGCGGGGTGAGCGGCACGTCTGAACTCGCGCGGGTCGTGCACTCCATCTGGCACATGTTGTGGACGTTCGGGGTTAGCGCCACGTCTGAACTTGCGCGGGTAGTGAACTCTATCTGGTCCATTTTGGGACGTTGTGGGTGAGAGGCGCGTCTGAACTTGCGCGGGTAATGGACTCCATCTGGTGCCCTTTGTGGACGTTCGGGGTGAGCGCCACGTCTGAACTTGCGCGGGTAGTGAACTCCACCTGGTACCCCCTGTGAACGTTTGGGAAGAGCGCCTACGTGACATGTGACTTTAATGTTGGTGCACGTTCTTGCCAAGCTCTTCGATTTCACGCGCTTCCCGTTCATGTCAAGAAAGGTCCCCCAGAATGGCCATCTCGCCTAAGACATCCTCGCAAAATGGAGATGTCGGAGGCTATCGTTCAAGACGTCTTATGTTAATGATGACGATTTCGCCTGAAACATCCTCACAAAATGCGGATGTTGAAATCGGACGCGGAATCTTCGGATCTTCGAAAATGGGGCTCTCGCCTGGGACATCCTCCCAACCATAAAATGGCGAAGTTCCTGTTGTACGGCATCTTTGGGGGATGCTCTTGGAGGACCTCCAAGATGACCCAAAAGGCAAAATCATGGAAAATCCATTGCTTCTTTTCAATATTTTTGGTCAAAAGTAAGCGTTTCGCTCGAGACATCCTCAAACAATACTCGCCCACAGCAGGTGGAGTTCACTCTCCGGGCGAGTTCAGCCCTCCCTGATGATAGCGATGAGGTTGATGACGGTAATGATGATGATGATGATGATGATGACGGCGGTGATGCTGATCATGATCTCGCCGTTGGTGTCAGCGCCAATTCTGAACTCGCGCGGGTCGTGAACTCCACCTGGTGCCTTTGGTGGACGTGCGGGGTGAGCGGCACGTCTGAACTCGCGCGGGTCGTGCACCCCATCTGGTACATGTTGTGGACGTTCGGGGTTAGCGCCACGTCTGAACTTGCGCGGGTAGTGAACTCTATCTGGTCCCTTTGGGGACGTTGTGGGTGAGCGGCACGTCTGAACTTGCGCGGGTAGTGATGAACTCCATCTGGTACCCTTTGTGGACGTTCGGGGTGAGCGCCACGTCTGAACTTGCGCGGGTAGTGAACTCCACCTGGTACCCCCTGTGAACGTTTGGGAAGAGCGCCTACGTGACATGTGACTTTAATGTTGGTGCACGTTCTTGCCAAGCTCTTCGATTTCACGAGCTTCCCGTTCATGTCAAGAAAGGTCCCCCAGAATGGCCATTTCGCCAGAGACATCCTCACATAATGGAGATGTTGGAGGCTATCGTTTAAAGCTTTCTAAATTACGAATGACGGTTTCGCCTGAGACATCGGCACACAATGGGGATACTGAAATCGGTTGCGGAATCTTCGGATCTGCAAAAATGGGGCTCTCGCCTGAGACATCCTCGAAACAATAGGATATTGAAACAGCTGCTTTAAGACCTCTTGTTTGACAAATGAGCCTTTTCGCCTGAGACATCCTCAGAAAAATTGAGATATTGAAATCGCGGGCGAAACCTTCGGATGTTCGAAAGTGTCGATTTCGCCTGAGACATCCTCCAAACAATGAGAGGTGGAAGTAGATGTTGTACGACATCTTTAAGGGACGCTCTCGAAGGATCTCCAGGATTGCCCAACAGGCACCTTCATTGAAACCTAAGTTTTCAAAAAAGGGCGTTTCGCTCGAGATATCCTCACACAATCGAGAAGTTGGGGGTCGTATCTTAAGACGTCTGTTGCTAAAAATGGGCGTTTTGCTCGGGACATCCTCTAAACATCGGGATCTCGAAATCGCTCGCCTAATTTTCGGATCCTCGAAAATGGGCGTTTGGCCTGAGACAGCCTCGAAAGTATGGGATGCCGACAGAGCTCTTGTAAGGCATCTGTTCGGAGCGATCTCGGATGACCCCCAAGATGGCCCAAGAAGCGAAGATATTGAAAAACCCATGTGTTTTACACACTTTCGTTGAAAAATCAGCGTTTCGCTCGAGACTTCTTCCCACAATTACCTATTCCTCCTCCTCCTCCTATTCCTCCTCCTCCTTTTCCTCCTCCTCCTTCTCCTTCTCCTCCTCCTCCTCCTCCTCATCCTCCTCCTCCTTCTGTTCTTCTTCTTCCTCCTCCTCCTCCTCCTCCTCCTCGTCCTCTTCCTCATCTTCCTCCTCCTCCTGCTCGCCTTCTTCCTACTTCTCCTTCCTCCTCCTCCTCCTCCTCCTCGTCGGTCTTCTCCTCCTCCTCTTCCTCCTCTTTCTCCTCCAACTCCTCCTCCTCCTCCTGCTCTTCCTCCTTTTCCTCCTCCTCCTGCTCCTGTTCCTCCTCTTCCTCGTCCTCCTCCCCCTCCTCCTCCTCACCTCTTCTTCTGCTGCTGCTGCTGATGCTGCTCTTTCTCCTCCTCCTCCTCCTCCTCCTCCTCCTCCTCCCCTCCTCCTCCTCCTCCCCTCCTCCTCCTCCTCCTCCTCCTCCTCCTCCTCCTCCTCCTCCTCCTCCTCCTCCTCCTCTCCTTCTTCCCCGGTCGTCTTCGCCGTCGTCTTCCTCATGCGGAGGAGTGGTGAGGATACTCAGGAATATGCTTGTGAACGTTCGGGGGGCGCGTGTCCACACGTATCCCTTGTGAGCGTTCGGAGAGCTCGCCTGTACTACATTTGATCGCGATGATGCTGCAAGTTCTTGCGTAACTCTTCCCTTTCACGCGCTTCCCGTTCATGTCAGGAAAGGTTCCCCAAATGAGCGTTTCGCTCAAGACATCCTCACAACATCGTGAAGCTTGGGGTCGTATCTTAAGACGTCTGTTGCTAAACACGGGCGTTTCGCTCGAGACATCCTCCAACCATGGAGATCTTGAAATCGCTCGCCTACTTTTCGGATCCTCGAAAATCGGCGTTTCGTCCGAGACATCCTCGAATACATCAGATGCCGACGCAGCTCTTGTAAGGCATCTGTTCGGCGCGATCTCGGATGACCCCCAAGATGGCCCAAGAAGCGAAACTATTGAAACAAACCACGTGGTTTTAACATTTTCGTTGAAACATCAGCGTTTCACTCGAGACATCCCTTACAACATGCCTTCGAACGGGCCCTCGAAGCCATCTGGTCTCCTCCTCCTCCTGCTCCTCCTCCTCTTCCTCCTTCTCCTTCTCCTTCTCCTCTTCCTCCTCCTGTTCTTGCTTCTCACCCTCCTCCTCCTCCTCCGCCTCCTCCTCCTCCTCCTCCTCTCGTTTTTCCTCCTTCTCTTTCCTCCTCCTCCGCCTCGTCTTCCTCCTCCTCTTCTTCCTGCTCCTCCTCTTCCTCGTCCTCCTCCCCGCCCCCTCCTCACCCTCTGTTCCTGCTCTTGATGCTGCTGCTGCTGGTCCTCCTCCTCCTCCTCCTCCTCCTCCTTCTCCTCCTCCCCTTCTCCTCCTCCTCCTCCTCCTCCTCCTCCTCCTCCTCGTCTTCCTCCTGTTCCTGCTCCTGTTCCTCATCCCCCCCTTCTCCCACGATTGTCGTTTTCGCCGTCGTCCTCCTCCTCCTCCCCTCCTCCTCCTCCTCCCCCCCTCCTCCTCCTCCTCCTCCTCCTCCTCCTCGTCTTCCTCCTCCTCCTCGTCTTCCTCCTCCTCCTCCTTCTCCTCCTCCTCCTCCTCCTCCCTCCTCCCACGATTGTCGTTTTCGCCGTCGTCTTCCTCATGCGGAGGGTTGAGGAGGATAACTAGGAATATGCTTGTAAACGTTCGGGGGGCGCGTGTCCATACGTATTCTTTGTGAGCGTTTGGGGAGCTCGCCTATATTACAATTGATCACGATGATGCTGCAAATTCTTGCGCAACTCTTCCCTTTCACGCGCTTCCCGTTCATGTCCGGTACAGTTCCCAAAATGAGCGTTTCGCTCGAGACATCCTCACGATATCGTGAAGTTCGGGGTCGTATCTTAAGACGTAGTTTGCTGTGCATGGGCGTTTCGCTCGAGGCATCCTCCAACAATGGAGATTTTGAAATCGCTCGCCAAATTTTCGGATCCTCGAAAATGGGCGTTTCGCCCGAGACATCCTCGAACACATGGGATGCCGACGCAGCTCTTGTAAGACATCTTTTCGGAGCGATCTCGGATGACCCCCAAGATGGTTGAAAAAGCAACGTTTCACTCGAAACATCCCTTGCAAGATGTCTTCGAACGGGCCCTCGAAGCCATGTGGTCTCCTCTTCCTCCTCCTCCTCCTCCTCCTCCTCCTCTTCCTGCTGCTCCTCCTCCTCCTCCTTCTCCTTCTCCTTCTCCTCCTCCTTCTCCTTTTCCTCCCCCTCCTTTTCCACCTCTTCCTCCTGTTTTTGCTTCTCCACCTCCTCCTCCTCCTCCTCCTCCTCCTCCTCCTCTCGTTTTTCCTCCTTCTTTTCCCTCCTCCTCCGTCTCGTTTTCCTCCTCCTCCTCCTCCTCCTCCTCCTCCTCCTGATCCTGTTCCTACTCTTCCTCGTCCTCCTCCCCGTCCCCTCCTCACACTGTTCCTGCTCTTGCTGCTGCTGCTGCTGGTCCTCCTCCTCCTCCACCTCCTCCCTCTCCGCCTCCTCCTCCTCCTCCTCCTCCTCCTCCTCCTCCTCCTCCCCCTCCTCCTCCTCCTCCTCCTCCTCCTCCTCCTCCTCCTCCTCGTTTTCCTCCTCCTCCTCGTCTTCCTCCTCCTCCTTCTCCTCCTCCTCCTCATCCTCCTCCCCCTCCTCCCACGATTGTCGTTTTCGCCGTCGTCTTCCTCATGCGGAGGAGTGAGGAGGATAACCAGGAAGATGCTTGTAAACGTTCGGGGGGCGCGTATCCATACGTATCCTTTTGTGAACTTTCGGAGAGCTCGCCTATCCTACATTTGATCACGATGATGCTGCAAAAACTTGCGCGACTCTTCCCTTTCACGCGCGTCCCGTTCATGTCCGGAAAGGTTGCCTCGCTTTCTGCTGAACGTGATCCTGTCTCTTGCGTGCCCCACCTGCTCCCCGATCAACGCTTCGACCTGGATGACCATGGCATTCATCGCGTGCATTCTCGTCGCCGTCTCCAGCGGGGTCTCTACGTGCAAAGGGTGGTCCTTGTTGACTATTGCCTCCTTGTGCGCTGCGCGATTTGTTTCGCTGTCTGGCGCCAGTGCCTGCCCGGAGAATTTGAACCAGAAGCGGTTCTTCTGAGGCTGGCCTGGCTTGTCGCGCGCGGGAAAAAATGCTGCCCCTTCGGCCCGCAGCGCTACTGGATCTGACCCTGAGTGTTTGACCATGTCGATTCGCAGCCCGATCCCGAACTTCATCGTGGATCTGAGCTCCAAAATGTCCTTGAAGGGCAAGTTCTTCAAAACGAGCAGAACGTTGTAAGTTGCTTGCGACGTTGGCGAGCCAAGATGTCTCGAGGTATCCGTTTCCTGTGGCGCGCACTCCTGACGCGACTTGATGCAATATGTGGCGATCTGGTGCTTTCGGTCCATGGCGGCCGTCGACATCGACTCGAGCGTCGAGCTGGACGATCAGCGCGCGCATGAGAAATCAATCAAATCCTATTGCTCCTCCTCCGCGTCCGTTTCGGCGTTCATCCTGGGTGTCTCGCCCTTCCTGCCGGCCGCGGCGGAGCTTTTGGATCGGCCCCTCACCATCCAGTTTCTGTCCTCCATCTTGGCGTCGTCCTCCATGCTTGGGTCCGCTAAGTACAGGTGCCCAGTCTGGTGCGTGTAGTTTTCCCAGCTGTAGACTGCTGGCCGCAGCTGGAGGCAAGCTGACATAAGACACGGACCACGCGCCTCTCGCATGAGGAAGTTCGGTTCCAGCATCGGCCCCCGGGTTCCGAGTGGGACTTGGCGCGCTTGAGTCAGGGCCCCAACGCGTCGCGCTGTTCAGCGCAGATGCGTCATTACATCTCGGTCGGAGTGATGATGTTGGTTTCAAAACGTCCACGACGAGCAGGGGAATCTCGTCGGCGGGGACTCGCAGCTACGCGTTTTTTGTTAGCGTGTGTGTGTATATATATATATATATATCGTAAAACACACCCGCATAAACGGCAACTGTCTGTGATAATGAAGATCCTGGCGATGTTGGGCTTCCCGCGTGTTCCGCCGATCGCGGTGGCGATGCGTTTTGTCGATGCATGTTTTGTGGGCCATCTCGCGTTGCGCGTTCTGACATCTTCGAGTTTTTATCGTGCAGAGTCACCTCTGCCATCTCCTCGAGGGGCCTCTGGAGCCTTGGGGGAGGGGGGTGCGCTCGGCAAGGAGCTTCGATCTCGACTCGTCGCAGTCGCCAGGGCCCCCGAGAAGTGCACGGCCAACCCCCTCCCCGCGCCCGCATTTGTCCTCCGCCCTCGAGGCCCCGAAACGCCCGCGTGCCCCGTTCAAGCTGGCGAGCCCGCGGATGCGCGCAAGCGCGCGGGGCTCCGCTGCCCCGCGGGCGCCCGCGAGCGCGCTGAGCTCCGCTGCCCGCGGGAACTCCACCGCCGTCGCGAGGGCGCCCAGAACAACTGGCAAGACACTGCTTGTTCTGGTCGCGCTCCTGCACCATCTCCTGCAACCATTTCAACTTTCTAATATTGTATTGCATAGCCAAAGGGGCTGCTTTGAACTTCCGGGGTATCTCGTGCGCGGAGCGTTTGGCAACGTGATAGGCTCGCTCGCGCCGCTGCGCTGCGCCTCTAAGAATCGCGCAGCCTCTGCGCGCGGCGCTGGCCGGCGAGGTCGCTGCTGGCGGGCGGGCCCGCGCCTTTGACAATTGCCTCAAGTCCGCTGGGCACGGCATTGTCTGGGGGGGTTTTAAGAAGCGACCTATCCACGCAGCATTCGATGCCCGATGTGGCCCAGAACCGCCGGGTGGAAAAATGCGCGGCCTGGGCCGCGCGACGTCGTCTTGCTAGTCTGGGCTTAGCTGTGGACGCGCTCGCTGGTAGACCTCCTAGATGCGATGCGTGATGTTGTGATGTGCCTGCGATGTTGGTGTGCTTCCTGTATGTGAGTCTGCTTGCGATGCGTGGCCGATCCCCGCGAGCGTGCGCTGCGTTCTCCCGCTTGCGAGCGTTCTGCGTTGCGCCTGCGATGCTCGCGCCCTTGTCTGCCGCGTCGTGCTCCAACCAGCTACCTAGCTCTAGCTTGCCCAGGATGGTGCCCTCAATGTCAGCCTCGAAAACCTGGTTAGCTATGTCGTCTGCGAACCCTCTCGCTGCCATCTGCTGGAGGTCCTCGGAGCCCCACGCCGCGCCCACCTCTGCGGCGACGCGCCACTTCTCTAGGGCGCGTGAATCGGAAGCAGCTTCGAGGGCAGGGTCAAAGACTGCGCGGGCGTTGTCAAGGACAAGCAGCCACTCCCCCCCCCGAGAGAGTTCATCCCGAACGGTTCCAAATCATCTTCCGAAAGACAGCGCGCGTCGTGACTCTGACCTCAGCGAACTGAAGGTCGGCGTTGGAGTAGAGGCTGGGAGGAATGGTGAGAACTTCAGAGCGCTTCAGGTTGCAGGACGCATTGGTGGCGTTGTAGCACCTTGCCAGTTGCGAGGTGCCCGCCGCCTGGAGCCTTCAGAACGAGATGAGCTCCGCGCCCAGCGCGGACTCGCGCGTCCGACGTCGCAGTCCTCCGCGGATCCACCCCTCGCGCCCCCGGGGCGCGAGCTTGCGGCGCATGGCTACAACGAGGCAAGTCCGACCGACTGCGCACGCGATCATAATGATACGCTCGCCGTCGACGTCCATCTGGTTGTTCCTACTCGGCGGCCTAGCCGCCTGAGCGGCGTGCCACATCACAAGGATGCGAACGTGTTTTCGGGCCATGGGGAGCATGGCGCGCGGTCGGCATTGAGCAGCGGCAGACGGAGAGGTGTCGACGTGCTTGAACCCAATCCTCCGCTGTCGCAGTGGTCTCCTCGGTTTGGTCTATTTCGGGAAGAGCAGCAGTCTGAATGCTTCTGCAGGTGGGCTCCAGGCAAGATAGCCCATCAATAACTGCATCCTCCATGCGCATGTGTGCACTGGGCTCCAAGGCGCTGTTGTGATCGCACTTGCCGCTCTTCTCACTGGCGATGGTTGACGGCGTCGGCGGCGGCCGCGTCGACGGCAGAGCAGCCGCCCCAACGGGCGCGCAGCCCCACGCGAGTACTCCATCCGCGAGTTGACGCGGCCGAAGGTCGAGGTGCCCGTTGTTGTCGTTGATGGCTTCGTTGAGCTCCTCCTGGGCGCGCCTGTTTGCGATGTTCTCCCAGTCGTGATGGGTGTTACCCTTGGGCTGCTTGCTGTAGCAAGTGCCCCTTCAGAACGCTGGCAACCTCAGCATGCATTTTGTCGCAGTCCTCCTGCGCCTCAATCTCGTCTAGTATGTCAGACGTGTGCAGTGATGGCGCGGTCAATGTACGACTCGGACTTGGAGCCAACGTAGGGGGGCGGATTGCAAAATTGCGTGTTCGCGGCTACCAGGGTCAATCCCACGAGAAGCGGTCGTAGTAATGTCGATGATAACGGCTCGCGTCCGCAATCAAGAGGACCCCCCACTTGGTCCCCAAATAACTTGACAACCGCGCTGCTACGATCGGTGAAGATCAAAGGCGTTGTGTTCCGCTTGGGCATATCCTGCAATGTGCCGTGGAGCCACTCTATCATTTTGTGCGGGGTCTGTTCGTAGGTCGGCCTGCGTGCTCTGCTGGTCAGGCTCGGTTGGGAAGTAAAGTCCAATGCGTCCAAACGAGATTTCCCCAGTCTGTAATGTGATGGCCCCGCTCCTGCCAATCATTTGCTTCGGTGTGTCATGCGCTATCTTCAACGAGTTGCGCGGGACACGCTCCTTTTCTAGCGAAGTATGACCCGCCCACAGGATGGTGTAACCGATTGGTCTCGCTCAAAGCCAGATTCCACTGTCCAATAATTCTGCACAGCTCTGGTGTCGTTGACGGTGGACCCGTGCGAAAGGGCCTGTGTACTGAGCTGCGCGTGCACGTCGCGGTTGGAGACGCAACCGGGGATGTCCAGGAGTCGCTCGACTGTCATCGCCGCGCAGTGGCACAATGGTTGTATGATGCCGCACGGAAGTTCTGCGGTCCAAGCCATACAGTTAGTCAAGCGGGCAACCTGCCGTCACGGGCCCATGGCAAGAACAATCGCAACGCGCATCATTGCGATGGTTCGGTGGTGTGCTGGAGGTGGCGCAGGTGGAGGTGGCTGCGATTGGGCCACCTGGAGGAGGAGGAGGAGGGCGAGGAGGAGGAGGAGGCAACTGCCGTCGTCGTTGTTGCGCGGCGGGTGCCGCGGAAAACAATCATGAGTGAACCCGTTTTGGTGGGACCCCATTTTTTCAATAATGCCGCCGACGAGAAAAAACTAGTTACCCCCTTTGGGGGGGTTCTAAAAACCCTTCGCGGTTAAGACGGAGCGCAAGCCATGTATTAAGGCGCGTGGATTAACGACGGGTCTCGCTTCCATGCGACATCGGCGCGCTCCGTCGCCACATCCGACGGCGCTGGCGCCAAGTTTGGGGGGGGTGCGTTCCCCGATGCGTGGATCTGGCGCCCACGCGCCAGATCCATGGATCCTAATTTCTCGTCAGCATGTGCCCGAATCTTAGGAACTGGGGGCCTCCCTGTGCTTTCAAAAAGGCTCCATAGAAGCTGGGAGGGCTTCTGCGAAGCCCCTCGCCTTCTTCAAAGGCCTCCTATATGGGGTCCGAGTAGGTGGGTCGGAGGATCGCGCCGCATCGCCAATGCATCGCCGATGCATTGCCGACGTCGGCGACGCATCGGCGACGTCGTCGCGGAGAAAATCGGGCTCCGCATCGAGCCGCATCGTCGATGCATCGGCGACGCGGCGCGATCCTCTGACCCCATCTACTCCGACCCCAGATGGGAGGCCTAGATTTCTTAGAAGGTCGCCCCCATCGCGCAACCCCCTCGTGCGCGCCGCCACCAAAGGTGTTCTCAGATTTTCCAGGGCGGCGCAGATGGCCTCCCAGAGCACCCCTCCCGAGGCCTGGGAGATGCCCCATGACGGGCACGAACAGCTGGGTGAAACCAGAGCCGTGGCCACCTGATTTGGGCGTCGCTTAATGGGGGGGGGTGATTGGGGCCCTCAAGGCCCTCCTCGGGGCCCTGAAGGGCCCTTTTGGGGGACCCCTTTGGGGGCCCTGGAGGGTTTCCTTTCGGCAGACCTCGCTGCCCTCCCGCCCCCATCTATCGCCCCCGCACTGCGCGAAGCCCAAAAGGCCATGGCCACCTGCGGCAGCCTCCGACCGCTCCGGGAGCGGTGAGGGCCGGCAGTATCGGATCCGATGGCGGCTCGGGCAGGGACGGCTGTGGCTCCGACCTCGTCGTCCTCCTCGGCCCGCCCCTTCCTCATTACCTCTCTCCCCCTCTCTCTCTCTCTCTCTCGCTGAATCTCAAGACAGAAAGCAACTATTAGCAGTAGCGACGGAGGTGCGCCGTGCCCCCCTGGACCAAGCATCCAGTGATGCCGCCACAGGTGTGCATGGCTGTGGATGCTCG